TTCGACCTCTGGGGCTGTTACACGTTCTCTGTCGGGTGCAGTCCAGGCTGAGAAGGCCTTTGATCAGGCAATGGCAAGTCAAGAACTATCGGAGTTTCTGGTGGGGTACTAAAGGAAAAAGCGCTGACATGTGTGTGTACATTCAGGCAGTGTGGGCGGAGTATTATCAGTCCAAGGGCCTGTCATCTGCTACGTTGCTGCTCGATTTGAAGAAAGCGTTTGAACTGGTCAAGCATCACCATCTTGTCCAGGCGGCCACTCGCACTGGATTTCCGTTGTGGCAACTGCGTTTGCTTGTGCAAGTCTATCGGTCGCCCCGCCTGCTTGATCTCCAAGGGACTGTCAGTAATCACATCGCGGCGGAAACTACGATTATCCCTGGGTGTGGTTTTGCTACTGTTTTGCTGCAACTGGTTTTGCTGGGCCCCCTGGATGTTGTTCAGAAAGAGTTTCGGGCCATCTGTCTTTCCGTGGTTGTCGACGATTTTGCGTTGCAGAGATCGGGGGAACACGGCCGAGTAGTTGCTGATGTAGCTGGCGCTGGAGTGAAGCTTCAGTGCGAGCTTCAGCGTGTGGATCTACGGCTCGCTCTTGACAAGACGCGAGTTCTTGCTAGTGATTCTGTTTTACGTGACCAGCTGTCCAGGAGGCTGGTATCGCTTAGGGCCCAGGGCGTGAACCATGAGCGCAACCTGGGGGTTGACTACAGTTCAGGTCGGTTTCTCAGGAGGGCCACCAGGACGGGCAGAATCAAGGTCGCCAAACCCAAGCTCAATAGAATGAAACATCTCCAGGGAGGCATGGCCAGGCGGAAAACCATGGCCATCATGGCCAGGGCGGCCCTGGAGACTTCGGTTGCTTTTGGGACCTCCGTTCAGGGTACTGCCTCTAAGGAGCTGGACGTGTTGCGATCCCAGGCCGCTGCGGCGCTCGACGCCAAGACCAGCGGCAAGAGCCGCACTCTCGCTCTCGCGCTCGCGCCGCAGGCCAACTACGACCCGATTTGGAGGGCTACTCTGGAGCCTATCAAAGCTTTCAGCTCTGTTCTTTGGGCGGCGCGCGTGCCATGTCATGTATTAGAGCATGGCCTTGAGGCCGCTAGATTGGCGTTGTCTGGGAAGGACCAAATGTGGCCGCAAGTTCGGGGCCCCCTGGGAGCCCTCTTCGCTACGCTCGCCAGAGTCGGGATCGTCGTCGTTGAGCCCCTGGTCTGGAAGTTGCCTGACGGTCTGGAGCTGAAACTCGAGTACATTTGCCCCAGGGTCCTACTGCACTGCTGTGCGCATGCGGTGCGCCACTGGGTTAACCTGCAGATTTCGGAGCACCTCCAGATGCCCGAGTTCCGTACTGGGTTCTGGGATGGGCCTCTGAAGTACCTCCTGAGCGCCAAGGGGAACCTCACTTGGCAGCAGCGTGGCTACCTCAGGAGTGCTATCATTGGAGCTCAGTGGCCCCAAGATCGGCAATTTCAACAAGGATGGATTGACTCCCCGAGTTGCCTTGCATGCCATGAGGCCCCTGGGTCCCTCGTGCATCGGCACGCTGTTTGCAAGAGCATGCTTGAGGCAATAGGAGAGCCACTCCCTGATGCAATCAGACTCATGCTCCCGCATGCGGACCAGAATGACCTGGTGCGCCTGTTGCTGGAGCGTGTGCTCGTCCCGCTCCCCAAGGCCCCTCAGGCAGTGCTGCTGACGCCGTCGGAGCCCTGTGTGGAATGGCACGGGGATGCGCAACAGCTCACAGGGGATCTTTATCTTGATGGCTCACTGTTTACTGATTATCCACATCGCGGGACTGCTGCATGGGCAGTTGTTGCGCTGGCCGCCGACACTGACACGGCTGTCTGCACCATCACAGGTCTCCTGCCCTACCCGCTGCAGGACATTGACGGTGCCGAGCTGTATGCCCTGTTCGCAGTGCTCAGATTCGCGGTGCCCCCTGTTGTCGTGCACACGGATTCCGATTTCGTTTGGAAAGGCTACAATATCCGTGGACCCGCTGACACCACGTCGGCGTCGGCGGCTTGGGCCTGTCTTTGGAAGCTCGTATGGCACAAAGTCGATGACTGGGGGGGTACCCCCCCTGAGGTAAAGAAAGTGAAAGCCCACGTGACAGACTTTCTGGTTGCGGAGGGGAGGTATAAGCTTCGAGACAAACTTGGTAATGATGCCGCCGACGGTGCTGCGAACTGTCGTGCTCGTGTCCTGCGGCCCGATCCCCAGTTTCAGAAGCTTACGTTGATGCAGAAGAGAATGGTCAGTCTTACGGGGAAATGGGCCGCCAGGGCGGGTGAGGCCATTGCATCTGTAGACTGTTTGCACCGCCAGCGCTCTGCACGTTCTGCCCCCTCCCTAATCATTGTCAAGCCAGAGCCGCCCACCTTAGAGCAAAGGATCCAGCAGGCTCAGGTTTCTCTGAAGGCCGCTGGGTCCAAGCATCATCGTGTGGCCTCGCTGTTCGTGGGCGAAACCCAGGTGTTTTGTTGCACTCACTGCGCTGCATGCACCACCCAGCGCGTGGTGTCTCTTGCGAGTGAGTGCCAGCCCCGTCATCTTTCGAAGGATCGTCGCCTTATCCTGGAACGATTGAGACGGGGCGAGTACTGTTTTGCCAAGAGCGTTCTGAGGTATGCAGGTTATCGCCTGCTCCCAGAGCCCTAATCCTTGTCTAGTGGGGGGCGCGGTGCGAGTGGGGACTGCCCGGCGTTGCGCCGTTAGTGACCCTCGCACCGTTGCTCCCCGGCCCCGCGCACGGCGCGGAGTGTGTCCGATGGGCGCGGCTAATGGCGGTTGCAAGGTGCGCCCCTAGCCGCGTTCGAGGTCCTGCTGAGGCACCATAGACTCTGTGGCGCCCCAGGCTGTGCCCAGGAGGAGGAGGAGGAGGA